GACTTTCATACGGCCACAGAAGATATTGGTCGTATCTTCTGGCGTAGTCGCTGGCGCCAGGCGTCTAGCGCGGGGCGCTTCTTGCACGACGATGCTTCCGCCGCGATGCTTTCCGCCTTGCCTGATGCCGCTCGGGCCCGTGTCACCTACTTCGATGGCGCGAGCGACTTCCTTGTCGCTTCCTTTCTGAACTGTGGCCCCACTGCGTGGCCCCTTCTGCTCGCGGCCGCCCGCCAAAACCTTGTCACTTCGCAAGGGCTTTGAGCCTGGGTATGGCTGCTACGGCCACCTGGCCGTCCAGATGGCCTCGTTGGACGAGGTCGTCTGAGGGCGCCGCACGGCTTGGGCGCGGCGCCCCGTCATCCTTTACGGGTCGCCGCGCGCGCGCCGCGCGCCCGCCTCCGGGACCTGATCGCTTGCGCTGCGTGCGGGAGAATGCGCTTCTCTATTCTCCTTGCCGCTCGCGCCCGTTCAGGTCCTGCAGCTTCTCGGCCCCCTCCCCCCCTCCCCGCCTTACTCAGGCAGGCCTGCGGCGCTGCTACGGCCACCTGGCCGTCCAGATGGCCTCGTTGGACGAGGTCGTCTGAGGGCGCCGCACGGCTTGGGCGCGGCGCCCCGTCATCCTTTACGGGTCGCCGCGCGCGCGCCGCGCGCCCGCCTCCGGGACCTGATCGCTTGCGCTGCGTGCGGGAGAATCTTTCTAATGACTTCTTTGTCCTGAAGAACTCTCGGGGATCCCAAGGAATCCTTACAATAGCTACTACTACAACATCCACAACCATAACAGCTAGTAGTGCAACTCCTATTTGTTACTACCGTTTCCGCTGCTGTCACCGGTGCTACAAACAGTAGTATTCCCATGTGTTATCATCGTTACTGTTGTTGTTACGGGTGCTGATACAACAGCACTTGCTACTATTTTATTAGTATTCTTATTATTAGTATTCTCATTATTCGCACATCCACACATATTATTGTTGATGCTGCAATTTTTTCCCATGGATTACTATCGTTACCACTACTGCTACTGGCACCAATGCAACTACAACTACTAGTACGATCACGATTTCAATACGACTTATTATTGAGGCTACCTCAACTATGCGCATGTTTGATATGATCGTTGCGGCTATGGCTATTTCTAATCGTGCAGATGCTAGAACTACGACTACGGCACCAGCACATGTTATTGTGGCTACCGCTGCGATGCACATGTGGTATTCTCGTGGTTGCCATCGTTATCCGTACGAGCACAGCTATTAGAACTACTACTGTTTCTACTGCTACTGCTACTACTACTGCAACTGCTTTTACTACTACTACTACTACTACTACTCCTACTCCTACTCCTACTCCTACTCCTACTCCTACTCCCACTCCCACTCCTACTCCTACTCCTACTCCTACTACTACTACTACTACTACTACGACTACTACTACTACTACTACTACTACTACTACTACTACTACTACTACTACTACTACTACTACTACTACTACTACGTACTACTACTACGACGACTACTACGACTACTACTACGACTACTACGGCGCTACTGTCGTTGATATTACTACCACAACTATTTCTATCGCTCCCTGCTACTATGGATATTTGTATAGCTACAACGAGCATGCGGATGCAGATGATGAGAATGATGCTGCTGCTGATGATGATGATGCTGATGAACATGATGATGAAAATGATGCTGAGGAGGAGGAGGAGGAGGAGGAGCGGAGGAGGAAGACGAGCAGGAGGAGGGGGAGGAGGCGGAGGGAAGAGGAAGAGGGAGAGGATAAGGAAGAGGAGGAGGAGGGATGAAGACAACGAGGAGCGGCAGGAGGAGGCTTTCGCTGGCTGTCTGAGACTCGGTCACCCCAGGGGCGCGAAGATAATCGTGCGTCGCGCGTCGCGGCCTAGGCTAGAGAGCTGGCATCCTCCAAGGTGGCCTCGCGATGGCCTCGCGAGGGCGCGAAGAACATCCACAACCATAACACCTGCTACTACTGCTACTACTACTACTACTACTACTTTTACTACTACTACTACTACTACTACTACTACTACTACTATTACTATACCGTTTCCGCTGCTGTCACCGGTGCTATTACAATGAGTAACAAGTATAGTGTTATTCTCCCAGGTGTTATTATCGTTACTGCTGTTGCTACGGGTGCTGATACAACAATTGCTACTACCATTGTTATTGCATCCACAATTGTTACGGTTGATGCTACTTTTTTCATCCCATGGATTACTATCGTTACCACTACTGTTGCTACTGGTATTTATGCAGCTACAGCCACTTTTGCGATCACAACTTCAACAGCACTCACTATTGAGGCTACCGCAGCTATACGCATGTTTAACATGATCGTTGCGGCTATGTCTAGTTCTGATCGTACAGATGCTAAAACTACGACTACGGCACCAGCACATGTTATTGTGGCTACCGCTGCGATGCACATGTGGTATGCTCGTGGTTGCCATTGGTATTCGTACGAGCACAGCTATTCGAACTACTACTGCTCCCACTGCTACTGCTACTGCTACTGCTACTGCTGCTACTACTACTACTACGACGACTACTACGGCGCTATTGTCGTTGATATTGCTACCACAATTATTCTCATCACTCTCTACTACTATGGATGCTTGTAAAGCTACAACGAGCATGCGGATGCTGATGATGATAATGATGCTGCTGATGATGATGAGGATGATGAACATGATGATGAACATGATGATGAACATGATGCTGGAGGGGAGGAGCAGCGGAGTGGGAAGACGAGCAGGAGGAGGGGGGGAGGCGGAGGGAAGAGGAAGAGGGGGATGATAAGGAAGAGGAGGAGGAGGGAAGAGGACAACGAGGAGCGGGAAGGGGAGGCCTTCGGCGGCTGTCTGAGACTCGGTCACCCCAGGGGCGCGAAGATAATTGTGCGTCGCGCGTCGCGGCCTAGGCTAGAGAGCTGGCATCCTCCAAGGTGGCCTCGCGATGGCCTCGCGAGGGCGCGAAGATATCCTTGCGTCGCGCTGCCGCCGTCGCCGGTGCCGCCGCTGCCGCCGCCGCCGTCGCCGCCGTCGCTGCGCCCGCGCGCGCGCCCGCGCCCGCGCGTGGCTGGGAGGATGATGGCGAGGATGGAGGACGAAGAGAAGGCGGAGGAGGAGGAGGAGGAGGAGGAGGAGGAGAAGGAATGGAGGATGAGGAGGCGGAGGAAGAAGAGGAGGAGGAGGCCCGTTTCGCGCGAGACATTTTCGGAAGTCTGGGTTCCAACGCGCCACGACATGTGATTTTCTAAAGGAACTCGCCATGGACATCTTCACAATTCCGGCGCATTCCGCTTGATCCGATATGCTTTGAGGCGAGGTGATCTGGACACCATCGCCTGAGCCATCCTCACATTTCTGGATTCCACGATGCCCTGCCTCATAGTAGTCCAGCCACTTTCGCCAGAGACATCCTCGTAATTCTAGATTCCGAAACGCCCTCGGCTGATGTGGACAAATCAATTTTGCTTAAGATTTCTTTGCAAATCTGACCTCGGAGGTGCCCTGCCCCATGGTGGTTTGACCACTGTCGCTTGTAACATCCCCGCAACTGTGGCTGCCGAGACGCCCAGGGTTGAGGTGTTCAGGCCACTTTTGCGTCAGACATTCTCGCATGTCTGACCGCGGAGTTGCCCTGCCCCCAGCCCCATGGTGATCAGGCCACTTTCGCCTGCTGCATCCTCGCAGCTGTGGGTTCTGGGATGCGCTGAGCAAAGATATTCGCGCCATTTTCGCTTGAGTCATCCTCGCAACGCTAACCTCAGATACTCCCTGCCCCAAATTGTGCTGGCAAGTTCCGCCTAGACAAACTCGCAGCGTTGACCTGGGATGTGCCCTGCCTTGAAGTAGTCTGACCCCGGATCAGCCGCGAGATACGGTATTCAGGCCCCTTCGCCTGATACGCCCTCGCACCTCTAACTTCGATGATGCCCTACCCCATGGCGATCCGGCCACTTTCGCCTGCGACATCCTCGCAACAGTGGATTCCGAGACGCCTAAAGTTGACTTGCTCAAGCCACTTTCGCATGAGACATCCTCGTAATCCTCGGTTCTGAGATGCCCTGAGCTGAATGCTCAGGCCACTTTCGCCTTCAACATCCTAAGAGATCTGACCTCGGATATGCCCTGCCCCAAGTTGGTTCGGCAACTGTCGCCTGAGACCCTCGCAGGGCCTACACTATCACGCAGATCATCGTATACAACGGGAGAAGCTCAGACCCCTGCGGAACTCCGTCCGCACTAGAACCAATCACAAAACTCACGCTGATCAGGGAGAGCCGCCCAAGAGCCGTCGCCGTCGTCGTCGCGGTGGGAGCCTGACAATCGGCCGATAAATCGATAAACCGATAAACCGGTAAACCGATATGCGGCGCAAGGATCGACTCCTCAGGGTTGCCCCCAGCGGTTTCAGACCAGCCAGTCACCCGATGAGCCGATAAACGGATAAACCGATAAACCGACGAATAGAAGAGAGCGCGCCGGCCATCGTCTATATGTTCGCAGATAAAGGTTATCGGTTGATCGGTTTATCGGTTTATCAACCGATAAACCGACATAATCATATCGGTGTATCGGTCGGTTTGCCGATAAACCGATCAATCTATAATTTTTTGTCGGTTTATCGGTTTATCGGTCGGATGGATTTCCCGAGGCCGTTGCCGCTGCACTTTTTTAGGGGACGAGTCAAAGTGCGTCTGGTCAAACAATTGCTGCATCGTGTTCGTCGTCTCGGGGTCGGGCGGGGTCACCGCAAGCGTACAGTCGGGCCGCTGCGGAAGGAACCCTATTCGATGGGGCGGGGCTTGGTGTTCCTTGATTGGTTTGCAGTGTTTGTCTCAGGTGTGTCTTGGGGTTTCTATGAGAGGTCGAAGTTTGACTTATGAAGAAAAAAGGGGCCTCGTTCCCTACTTTGGGTTCCTTATGACAGCGCTTCGATTGTAAAACAGCAAGCCAGGCGCGACTTCCACTTGCGATTGGTCGACGCCAGGATTCTACCTGCCGCCTGCCCTCGCCCATGATCATTGTGGTGATTGTTGCGGCTGTGGTCTGACATGACCTGCGCGATTCATAGCCGTCCTGAGAAGTGCGGGACGGATTGCACTATGTATCTAGCGTGCAGTGCCAAGTGTGTATTTGATCGCAGCCGTCGTCGTCGCACAACCATCTTGATTCGGTTGCCTTCCATCTCCCGCATTTCGTAATCCAGCCATGCTGGCTTGATTGCAGCTACCTCATCGGAACGTATGATATGTCAGTACAAGAATTCGTCGATGGCGTTGGATTGCTAGAAATTGTCCTTGCATAATCGAACGCCCACACTGGTCTGCTGCGTTGTTCCTTCAGGGCCGCGTCAGTCTCTCGCTCTTGTCCTCAATTCCCTGCAGGCCTTCTGCTGTCACGCACTTGCCGAGCGCACTATTCAAATGCCTCTGTCGCGCAGAACGGCCAATGGTCTGTTGGGGGTGGTGTGGAGGAGCAGGAGGAGAATAGGAGTAGGAGGGGGAAGCAGAGGGTGAGGAGGAGGAGGAGGAGGAGGAGGAGGAGGAGGATGAGGAGGACGAGGAACAGGAGGAGTAGGAGTAGGAGGAAGAGGAGGAGGAGGAGAAGGAGGAGGAGGAGGACGAGGAGGATGAGGAGGAAGAGGAGAAGGGGGTGGTGTGCGACTGGAGGCAGTGGTGGGGGGTGGGGGCAGCATGAGCCCCCACACCGCCGATATTACCTCGCTCTTCACATCTCGACGCTCCTTCTGACCTGCGTGGCCGCAGGGACAGGCCGATCACTCCGCAGCAGTACCTTGAGAATGCCCTGGCGCCGATTGCTGGCCAGGAGAAGCGGAACGAGATCCGCGCGGTTATAAAGGCAGCGCCGTTTCTCATTTCGGCTGCGAGCGAGGGGGGGGGAAGTGAGAAGGAAACGGTCCTTTGAGAAGGCGGCGGGACTTCTCAGAAGCCTTCGCGCCTTCTGCGAAGTGTTCCTTGCCGTCGGGGAAGGCTCAGACAACTTCTAAGAAGGCCTGGGAACTTCCGAGCCTTCTGAGAAGGCCCGCCCCTCATTATTTCCCCCCTCGCTCGCCGCTAACTATTCGAGCGTTGTGGAAGGTAGTCCGACCGAGGTGACTGTGTCTGTGATGTCAAAGCAGACGGGATTCGTAACGTGACTCCTATCCTCTAGACTCGATGGATCCCTGCGTAGTGCACGTGCGAAGGCTCACAGCGCACCACCCTGACAGCAGGAATCCATGCCGCATTTCAGTCCGGACCTCGCGGGCTCCGAAGGATCGGGATGCATGCTCTGGACCTTGTGAGAATCATTTGCCCGCGTTGCGCTCTCTGGACCTGCCGTACTTTGATGGTGATTTCATTGGTTCTGTTTTGGTATATATATGCGCAGCCCCCCCCCCCCCAGCACCCACTGATTTTCATCGCGGTTCGCGCTGATCGCACTCGCATTTTCTTTACTGCCAGATTCGGTTCTCGCCCTGAGACGGCGGCATCGAATAATGAACGTCATCTGGAGAGCCAACCACTTGATCCTGCATCTCCTTCCCCTCTTTCATCTCGTCCATCCTCCTCCTCCTCCTCCTCCTCCTCCTCCTCCTCAACCTCAGAAGATGCAAGCGTCCGCTTCCCCCGCCTTTGGGAGAACAGGTATAAGATATCAGCGGCAGCGCTAACAAGAACGATAAGCGAACCATATGATTTCTCAGGCATTCCAGGGATGCACAGGGATGCTAAGTGACGATCGCTGTGCAGGCTCAGGGATCCCAGGGATTCCAGGGATGCGAAGTCACGATCCCTGAGCAGGCTCAGGGACCCCAGGGCTTCCAGGGATGCGAAGTCACGATCCCTGTGCAGGCTCAGGGATCCCAGGGACCCCAGGGATTCCTAACCCTCCAGCAAAACCGACCTGGGGATCCACCAGCGATCCCGCGCTCAGAATCCCTGGGATCCCTGAGCCTGCTCAGGGATCGCGACGTCGGTTGTCAGCAAACCATATGATTTCTCAGGGATCCCAGGGATTCCAAGGATGGCAAGTCACGATCCCTGAGCAGGCTCAGGGATCCCAGGGATTCCAGGGATGCGAAGTCACGATCCCTGTGCAGGCTCAGGGATCCCAGGGATCCCAGGGATTCCTAATCCTCCAGCAAAACCGACCTGGGGATCCACCAGCGATCCCGCGCTCAGAATCCCTGGGATCCCTGAGCCTGCTCAGGGATCGCGACGTCGGTGGTCAGCAAACCATATGATGTCTCAGGGATCCCAGGGATTCCAGGGATGCCAAGTCACGATCCCTGAGCAGGCTCAGGGATCCCAGGGACCCCAGGGATTCCTAACCCTCCAGCAAAACCGACCAGGGGATCCACCAGCGATCCCGCGCTCAGAATCCCTGGGATCCCTGAGCCTGCTCAGGGATCGCGACGTCGGTTGTCAGCAAACCATATGATTTCTCAGGGATCCCAGGGATTCCAAGGATGGCAGATCACGATCCCTGAGCAGGCTCAGGGATCCCAGGGATTCCAGGGATGCGAAGTCACGATCCCTGTGCAGGCTCAGGGATCCCAGGGGTCCCAGGGATTCCTAATCCTCTAGCAAAACCGACCTGAGGATCCACCAGCGATCCCGCGCTCAGAATCCCTGGGATCCCTGAGCAGGCTCAGGGATCCCAGGGGTTCCAGGGATGCGAAGTCACGATCGCTGTGCAGGCTCAGGGATCCCAGGGATCCCACGGATTCCTGACCCTCCAGCAAAATCGGCTTGGCGACTTCGCAAAGATTTGGGGGGTTGGGAATCCCTGGGATCCCTGGGATCCCTGAGCCTGCACAGGGATCGTGACTTCGCATCCCTGGAACCCCTGGGATCCCTGAGCCTGCTCAGGGATCGTGACTTCGCATCCCTGGAATCCCTGGGATCCCTGAGAAATCATATGGTTTGCTGACAACCGACGTCGCGATCCCTGTGCGGGCTCAGGGACCCCAGGGATTCTGAGCGCGGGATCGCTGGTGGATCCCCAGGTCGGTTTTGCTGGAGGGTTAGGAATCCCTGGGATCCCTGGGATCCCTGAGCCTGCACAGGGATCGTGACTTCGCATCCCTGGAATCCCTGGGATCCCTGAGCCTGCTCAGGGATCGTGACTTGGCATCCCTGGAATCCCTGGGATCCCTGAGACATCATATGGTTTGCTGACCACCGACGTCGCGATCCCTGAGCAGGCTCAGGGATCCCAGGGATTCTGAGCGCGGGATCGCTGGTGGATCCCCAGGTCGGTTTTGCTGGAGGATTAGGAATCCCTGGGATCCCTGGGATCCCTGAGCCTGCACAGGGATCGTGACTTCGCATCCCTGGAATCCCTGGGATCCCTGAGCCTGCTCAGGGATCGTGACTTGCCATCCTTGGAATCCCTGGGATCCCTGAGAAATCATATGGTTTGCTGACAACCGACGTCGCGATCCCTGAGCAGGCTCAGGGATCCCAGGGATTCTGAGCGCGGGATCGCTGGTGGATCCCCAGGTCGGTTTTGCTGGAGGGTTAGGAATCCCTGGGATCCCTGGGATCCCTGAGCCTGCACAGGGATCGTGACTTCGCATCCCTGGAAGCCCTGGGGTCCCTGAGCCTGCTCAGGGATCGTGACTTCGCATCCCTGGAATCCCTGGGATCCCTGAGCCTGCACAGCGATCGTCACTTAGCATCCCTGTGCATCCCTGGAATGCCTGAGAAATCATATGGTTCGCTTATCGTTCTTGTTAGCGCTGCTGCTGATATCTTATACCTGTTCTCCCAAAGGCGGGGGAAGCGGACGCTTGCATCTTCTGAGGTTGCGTTAGAAAAAGCATTCCGCTTGCAACACGTGATTCGGGAAGAGGAACGGAAAAAAGGAGCAGGGTCGATGAGAAGAGGATGCGTCTCCAGCTTCGTGGAAGAGGGAGAAAGCGTAGAGTGGGTGCTGTGGGGGGGGGCTGTCCACATATATATATATATATATATATATAGAACAACAAACGTTTGGTCACAGCGGCGGGGAGGGCGCGCGTTGCGACGCCAGTTGGCGCGCAGAGGGTGTGTGTAGCGACTGCACGCTTGAGCTCATATGTAGCAGAGGGCATGCGTGCCGGCAGGGACGCCGCCACGCATAGACTCTGAAGACCAAGCATTACGAAAACTTGTCTGGGAGAGGAGGGGAGGAGGAGGATGAGGAAGAGGAGGTGGGGGAGGAGGAGGAGCAGGAGGAGGAGGAGGAGGAGGAGGAGGAGGGGGAGGGGGGAAAGGGATTGGGGGGGAGGAGCCGGGGATAGGGAGGGGAGGATGAGGAGGGGAGGAGGAGGAGGGGGGGGTACTTGTCTGGAGGAGGGGGGGAGGGGGGGCGGGAGAGGGAGGGATGGATCTGTCACTGGGCGTTCGATTTTCCTGGGCCTCCTGGAGGGGCCCCTCGGCGCCGCGCCTGGACGACGGCGCTTCGGGGTACGTTTGTAGGTCTGTTCGGAGGGTGAGGAAAAGCAGGGGGGAGGTCCAGAAGAGGGGGGAGGTCTATTCGGAGGGGGGAGGGGGGAGGTCCACTAGGAGGGGAGGTCTGTTAGGAGGGGCGTACTCGGAGGAGTGAGTTCTGGTAGGAGGAGGAGGATGAGGAGGAGGAGGAGGAGGGAGGAGGAGGAGGAGGAGGACAAGGAGGAGGTGAATCTGGATGGGGACGGGAAAAGGGAGTGCAGGGAGAAGGTATCGCCATCGTCATGGTGATCGCAGCTGTGTCTTTGCTGTCGTCTTGCGCGACCTGGGGAGGAGTACCCCTCGTTCAAAGTGGGTAATTTGGGATTCCCACGCCAATCTACTGAAGGCGCCTTCCTATCTACAGAGGCCCCCTCTCGGAGCCTGGGTTCAGGGATGTCGTAGGCGAAGCGGACCAGACCACCTCGCCCGCAGCATCTCGGGGCCCCGAATTGCGAGGACATCGCAAGCGAAGTGG